GGGGGGGCTATCGGGCGGTCCCCGGGGGGCGGTTTTCGCAGTCTGGGGATCTGTTGAACTCGGACCACCACGGTGGCACCACCCCATATCCCCCGTCGCGCGCGCGCGCCCCGCAGAACCGCATTCAATTTTTTCGCACGCCCGCGCGCATAGCACGTTTGAACGCAATTGAACGCGGGGCAGGGGGGTATGAACGCGCGCGTTTGAACGTGAACGCGCGTTCACGGCGTTCATACGGTTACTCAGACGACGACAGCAGTAACAACAAAGTGTCGACAACATCGGCAACATCAACAATAATGAGATGGCGCGCAACGGTAGAAAGGAAGGAGGGATTCTGTGCTTGAGCGCGCTAGGGAGTAATAATAATTGCACGAACAACAATAACGACAACAACAACAACAACAACATCGACGATAACAATAACAAAAACGTCACCGCTCACGAGGTGGTAAGTTCGATTGAGCAATCTCTTCCCCCCTCCCCCCTTTTCCCCTCCTCTTGAATCTCTTCTTGTGTTCTTTGGCTGTAGATTGGGGGGATGGGCGAGTGGTGAGGATGATTGGGTTGATTTGTAACAGGAAGGCTGGGTGCGGGGGCCAGGAGTGGGACGGTGGCGTGAGGGGGTGGGATAGTGACATCTAGATAGCTGGATGCACAGGGTTGCAAGTGAGTGGTGGGTTTCACCGCATCCTGTTTTGGCCACATGCCAACAGGACAACTGTCGTTCGCTCAGGTCTTTGATCATTGGCTTGCCAAGCGGAATTGGCCATTTTCATTTTTTGCGGCTTTTTACAACTCAGGATTCGGTCACGTGTCAGGGTAGGCAGTGCACTGAGGATTGGCATCGGGACTGCTTGTGTGGTTGATTGACGGGGCAGGCTGAGAAGTGACGATTGGCACGGGGACTGCGTGTGTGATTGATTGGTGCCCTGCCACGTTTTTGACTTTTTCTGTTTGCACACGCCTGCGATTAATTAGGTTAGCATGTGGCTATTAATCTCTGTAAACTGTGCCTCCCCACTTGAGCGGATTCATGGATTACGAGGATCGTGGGGGGCATATGGCGCAGGTAACCTTACATAATAGAGTGCAATGGTGGAATCGGACTTCGTCCAAGGTTTTGCTATAATTGACTTTCTAGCCCCCTATTCTGAATGCCCCTCCAAGAGCGATTTTGTAGATGATGAGGGATTCAGACTAGGGATATGACGTTAGACTGCGATGGCCAGTAACTCCCCTCGGTTGAGGGCAATCAATGCTGCTCCTCGGGTAAATGATGTGTATCACTCATGTTTGTAGTAGGATGGACACATGGCACAGTTACATAACTCCTGTTTGTTTACAGACTACCCCTTCCAAGAATGTTAAGGGACGCTGGACCCGGTTTCCAGCAGGTGTTGCTCCCCACCAATAGATGCAGCCTCCCCGAGCATGCTAG